AAAAAAAAAAGAGTTACAGTAAAAAAAAAAGAGCAAGAAAGAGAGAGAGTGAGTTACACTCTCGGAGACCTATATAGGGGCAGCTCTACTCTATCTTATAGGTTTGCTACAAGATGGAATTGGATTTGTTTTTTTGGAGTATTGAGTCCTTGCGAGGATGAAATAAAAATGTACATAAAAGTACTTAGCACATTGGCACATAGCACTCAAAAGGTACTTAATATTATTGTATTGCTATTTATATATTATTTTATTTATATTATTTATATATAAGTATTCATATTTACATATAAATGTTTATTTTTTATATAATTATTTCTATTTATAAATTATTATATAGTATTTATTTACATTATTTTATTGCTATTGTTTCTGTATTGAATCTGGTTATGTAGCATTAACTCAACTCCTAATGAACATATTTTCTTTAGTAACCAGTTAGTAAATATTAAGCATGAGGGATACAAAGATTAATTTAATGCAATCTTACTTCAAATTTATTTGGGTATATAAGTACCCATATTGTTCTACTACAATAAGAGTTCCTAAGAGTTTATAGCAGGAATGATTAAAACTTATCTTGGTTATTATATGCATTTTATACACTTTTAACTTTATCAAGAGAAAAATTTAAGGAATTTCTTAAAATTTTTTTCCCAATGTATTTGCATTTATATAACTTTTTTTTTTTAACATTTTATTAGGGGCTCATACAACTGTTATCGCAATCCATACACACATCAATTGTGTAAAGCACATTTGTTCAGAATTTCTTAAATTTTTAATACCAGCCATTTGGATTCTTTTGATTCAGAATCATTGATTTTGGGGGGGTAATATTTTATTTTATTTATTTTGTAAACATTTTATTGGGGGCTCATACAACTCTTATCACAATGCATACATTGTGTCAAGCACATTTGTACAATTGCTGCCACCATCATTCTCAAAACATTTGCCTTCCACTTGAGTCCTTAATATCGGTTCCTCATTTTCCCCCTTCTTCCCCACTCCCTCATGAACCCTTCATAATTCATGAATTATTATTATTTTGTCATATGTTATACTGTCCGACGTCTCCCCTCGCCCACTTCTCTGCTGTCCATCCGCCAGGGAGGAGGTTGTACGTAGATTCTTGTAATCGGTACCTCCTTTCCACTCCACATTCCCTCCACCCTCCAGGCATCGCCACTCTCACCACTGGTCCCAAAGGGGACATCTGTCCTGGATTCCCTATGTTTCCAGTTGCTATCTGTACCAATGTATATCCTCTGGGCTAGCCAGATTTGTAAGGTAGAATTGGGATCATGATAGTGGGGAGGGAGGAAACATTTAAGAACTAGAGGAAAGTTATATGTTTCATTATTGCTACCCTGCACCCTGACTAGCTCATCTCCTCCCCACAACCCTTCAGTAAGGGGTGTCCAGTTGCCTACTGATGGGCTTTGAGTCTCCACTCTGCACTCACCCTCATTTACAATGATAGGATTTTTGTTCTTTGATACTTGATACCTGATCCCTTCGACAGCTCATGGTCACACAGGCTGGTGTGCTTCTTCCATGTGGGCTTTGTTGCTTCTGAGCTAGATGGCGGCTTGTTTATCTTCAAGCATTTAAGACCCCAGACACTCTATCTTTTGATAGCCGGGCACCATCAGCGTTCTTCACCACATTTGCTTATGCACCCGCTTTGTCTTCAGCAATCCTGTCAGGAAGGTGTGCATCATGGAATGCCAATTTAATAGAACAACATGTTCTTGCATTGAGTAAGTACTTGAGTGGAGGCCCAATGTCCATCTGCTGCCTTAATACTAAGCCCATAAATATATCCCCACCGTCCTATATAATTTACATATGTACATGCCTGTATTTAGGCCTCTATAAACACCCTTTGTCACCTAGTTCTTTCCTCTATTTCCTTTTATTTTCCTCTTGTCCCAATAGCATGCTCAGCCTTCATTTGGGTTTCAGTAATTTCTCTCGGTTACATTGCCCCTGCCAAATCCCTACCAGGCCTCTCACACCCTCCTTGCCACTAATTTTGGATCACTTGTTGCTCCCCTGTCTCTGGGTTGGTTAACACCACCTCTTTAGCCCAGCCTCCCCTAGAGTTATTGCTTTTAAAGGTCATTCTAAATAGATACAGATCAAGAAGGAAAATGGAAAAGTTGCCCAAGGGTTACTTGGATATAAATTTTTTATGAGAAAAAATATTCTAATAATTTTATGGGATCTATATTTTCTTTTCAAGTATAAATTTCCATGTTTCAAAGTATGATGATCCAGGTGTTCAATATTTCATGTCTTTATAATACTTACATGTTATTAACTGAATGTTTATGGTTTTTCCAACCAATTTTTGCAAACTGTTCTATTTTTGTCCCTGTTGAGAAAGAAAACATCTATTAGTAGGTTAATCCATTTTTTTCTGTGTATTAATAAACATTGCAATGAAACCCTGTGTCCTGCTGAAAATTATCACATCTCCTTTGCACAGATATCAGTAGTGAAAATGTGAACACATAAATATTTCTTAGGAAATAAATTTGAATTCATCTAATGAATTGAATCAACTAGTTGACATTGAGATAAAAATAATTCAAACTGATCTATATAGTCTTTAGTATACAGTCCAATTTCAAAAACAAAAAATATAGCGTTGCTGGCCTGGATTCTGCATCTGCCTCATCGACCTCTGGTTCTATAGACTTGAGCCAATGGCCTTCCAGATTGCCTGCCAACCTTCGACTGGATGCACCTCTATCTCTACCCGCCTGTGGTCTTCCTGCTTCTAGGTTCATCAGCCCCGGCAGGCACTTGATCAGGAAAAGCCTCCACTTTAACACCTGGGGCACAGACTTAAACTGAACTCGACTTACCCTCTTATACAATTGTCTGGACCACTTACTTGATATATCTTTCTTGGAATATACATATACACTGCCCTGGTTTTGCTTCTTTACAAAGAACCCAGCCAAACACAGGTAGCAATGGCTAACTGATGAACTGCTATATTCCAAGAGGCCTAGAATAATAGCTAGATTATTATGAGAGCTCAGTAATTTTCACGACTTACTTAATTGAAAAGAAGGGATTGTAATCAATGTCAGAAAATAAAATGGGTTATGAACTGCTCAATGTAAACCAATTTTCTCTGTAAAAATCACAATTTTAGAAAAAGAAAGAGGAGATGTAATGGTCAGAGAGGTCAGAGAAAACCCAGGAGGAGAAGGTGTCACAGAAGTCAAGAGAGGAAAGGGTTTCAAGATGAGTGGTCAGTTGGAACTAGTGAGGCTGAAGGTCTATTCAATTAGGATCAAAAAGTATTTACTGGATAAATACTTACTGAATAAATTGCTTTTAAAGGTCATTCTAAATAGATACAGACCAAGAAGGAAAATGGAAAAGTTGCCCAATGGTTACTTGGATATAAATTTTTTATAAGAAAAATATTCTAATAACTTTTATGGGATCTATATTTTCTTTTCAAGTATAAATTTCCATGTTTCAAAGTATGGCGGTTATCTCCAGCCTTGAGAAAGGAAGGAAACCAAACTGGAATATACTGAGGAAAAAAATGTTAAGAAATATACAAGAAAGCAAGCGCCTATAGTCAAAAAGATGCAGTCCTCAATACCTCTTCCTCTAAGTCTTCTTTGCAGATTACTTGATTCCACCTATAAAACCTAGGTATTTTTTTATTCCCTGCAAAAAATAGACATGCTAACATTTCAAAGATGATTTTGTCTTTCTTATCTCAGTATACACAAGGCACTGGTTCAGGATCCTATGAGTTTAATAAGAAAGGCTCTACCTGCACTATCCTATGCCAGAGTTAAATATCTACAACAGCTAACCATTGGTCATCAGTTAAACAACTGGGATGTTTACCTCCTAAATAAAAATCAGCTTGTGATAGGTAGCTTTATCATGCCAACCTGGCCAACAGGAACATATGGGATTAATAAGGTCACAGTTTGATTGAAGGGCAAAGAGATAAATGGCTCGGCAAGCCCCACTCCACTCTCTCTCTCTTCCCCTCTGGCGATTGGACCAGAGTGCAGCTGCTTTAGCTAGTTCTCTGCCTCAACTTCTGAACTACACTACCTGTGGGACAGTCAACACATGGATCTTGTCACTAGAACTTGAGGTTCCTTGAGACCTGCTTCACCCAGCTGTCGGTGTATACACCGCTTAAGCTTGAGGCTGTGGGATTCTGTCGTCTTGCTAATAACCCACCCTGTTGTTTGCTGCCTGTGGCTGGACTGGCTGCATTGCCCATGGGAAGACTCAGCTGTCTCCTTCCTTGACCTTGGATCCAGCAGCCCTCATGAGTTGAAGGACTTCCAGTATATTAACTGTTCCACAGAAATGAGTTGAAATGATCCCTCTGTATTGTTGTGTGGACTAATTAGCTGTTACATTCCATCATGCTGTATCTATCTATCTATCTATCTATCTATCTATCTATCTATCTATCTATCTAATGATAAGTGTTTACCAAAGGCTCACTAGAAAGTAAATGTCTAAAAAAGAATGAGGGCAACATATGTACAAACATGCCTGATTCAATTGATGTAAGGATTGTGATAAGAGTTGTACGAGCCCCCAATAAAATGATTTTTTTAAAATCATAAGTGTTCTGGTTTTTGTTTCTCTAGAGAACCCTGTCTAACATACAGCTCTACAGCTTGAACCACATAGATACATGGTGGATAATGATGGACTCATGATAAATTCAAGTATTAAGAATAAAAGTTGCCTTATTAAACTGATTGCTAAGAAAAAACTTTAAGTCTGTTTACCATATTCAGAACTGATTCTCTTCCATTAATAGTCCATTATTAAAGGCAAGAAGATTGATGTATGTTTCTCCCTCTAATTTTTATAATGGAGTATTTTAGGAACTTCCTCTATGATGTCCTATATATAAATGTTTAAACTCCCAGGTTAACTCTACAGCAAATATTTCTTCAATGGAATTTTTAAAAAAGTTTTACTCTTACATAGCCTAACATCTACAACTCTTTAATAAATACATATTGTTTCCATCTGATGTACACATATTCCTAGTAATAAGCCTTAAAGTTCTTTGTTTTGTTTTGTTATTCCCATACCATATTTTTCCATGTGCTCTTTTCCAGCAGATCCAAACATCTGAGCAGCCACTGGATCCGCAGCTAATCCAAATTTATTGACCATGACTTTAACATGTTTATCCAGTGGATTGGTCCTATCTGAAAACTAAAAGAGGTGAAAAATAAAAATGTAGATGTAGTTGATAATATAATTATCACTTTCAACTCTTGCTGTGCTACTGAGATATTTGTTTAATCCAAATCCATAATAAATCAAATGTGGCAAATGTAAACACTCTGCTTCAGCTACACTTAAGGCACTGGCCAAAACACAGCTCCAGGAATTGATGGAACACCACCTGAAATGTTTCAACACACTGATGAAGCACTCACTTGTCTAACCCCCCCTAGCCACAGGTGGGAAGAGATCCGTATTTGTCCCCGTTCCAAAAAAGGTGACCCAACAGAATGCAGAAATTTTAGAAATTAAAGAACAAACTGATATTGCATGCAAGTAAGTTTGCTGAAGATCACCCAACAACATACAAAGCAACATACCTCTAACTCATGGGACAAAACAAAAATTCACAATGAGAAATACAAAACAATTTGATCCTAATAAAAATAAAAGCATGATATAACAAAACTGTGGCATGATGTTGAAGTGCTATTTAGAAAGCAATCTATACATTAAAATGCCAAATAAAGATTTAAAATCAAGGGCGTAAGATTCCACTTTCTGAAACTAGAAATAAAGAGCAAATTAAACCCAGAGTAAGTAAAAGAAAGGAAATACTACACATCTGAGCAAAAAAATCAATGGAATGTAATACAGGAAAATAAATGAAAACAAAAAGCGGTCTTTGGAAAAGATCAATAAAACTCATGGGGGGAAATGGAAGACAAAAATTAATATTAGAAGAAGAAAGGGGACATAGCTGGAGACACCATTTTAAAGGAATACTAGGGAAATAATATGAAGCTTTTGTTTCGAATTTAGCAGTTTAGATAAAATGAACAAATTCTTTGAAGGGCACAGCTACCAAAGCTTACTCAAGAAGGAATACTTAACCTGAAGAGGAGTAAAATATTTACTAAAGAAACTGAACTTGTACATAAAAATCATCCCAAAAGAAACCCTGTAAGTATTAGCATTGTTATGGTGGCTGCAAGACTCTGTGAATATGCTAAAAAAAAAAAAAAAAGTATATATTAAGTAGGTAAATTTTTATGGTATATGAAATATAAGAAGGAAAAGCAAAAAATAACCATTTATTCCTATAATAACACAGGTCTACTTATTTTTCAAAACAGAGAACGGTAGCTTGGATCTTTCACTTTGTAGTTAGGTCAAAAAAAATTGTTATTCAAGTTACTTAGACTCTTCTGAATTTTGCCTGATAGAATACGACAATTACAGGGTAGTTCCATAAGCCTATGGCAATGGTGATAAGTTTAGAAACAAACAGACAAGGGCTCAGTCTCAATATTCATCCAAGAAATGAAAACTAAAATTGCAGTAGCATATCATTACACCTAACAAATTGTCATAAATCAAGAAGAATGATATCCACTCTTGAGTCTGGATTAAAAGTAAAACAGGTACTTGCATATGTTTTTTATGAAAACACAAAATACCACCATCTGTCTAGTAAAACAAAACACAAATCTTAAAAGTATGTATTGTGTAATAAGTGCTCAACTAGTAATCAAAAGGTATGTGGGAAGACAGCCTTCGTGATCTGGCTTCCCAAAATCCACAGTCTTGGAAACCCTATGGAGCTGTTCTACTCGGCATGAGTGGGGTTGCTGTCCGAATCAATTTAACAACAACTAACCAAACATTATCACCTACCTTTAACTCAGCAACTCCACTGCTAGGAATGTATCCTAGAAATAATTAATGATGTATGCACAGATGTATTTATGTATGTAAAAGAACACACCTATATTGTCTACAATAAAAACTCAAGTGTTTCAAATACCTGGGGATAAAAATGTTGCCATTGACCTGGGAAATTAAAAGCAATCATCCTGGTTCTTACCTAATTGTTTCTGAGTTATAAAAACACAAAAATAGACACAGAGACACTCACTTGCATGTTAAGGGATCCCTTCTCCATCTTCTCAAACCCAAGGGCCAAGACACAATCTGCCAAACCTTTAAAGAAAGTTATGCATTTTGAAAAATCAAATTTGCAAGTACCCCAAATAAAAACCGATGAAATTCTTCAATTTAAATAAGTATTCCAGACACCAAGGGTAAATACCATTACATACACAATCCTGCAATAACTGTAATAACAAACAATACCTACAAGTAAATATAGGTAAGCTAAACAGATATGGGAAGGTAAACAGGAATAAGCCAGTAAGTTTATACAGGTTAGGCAGAGGTTATCTCTGCATACGTATTTGTACGTGCTGCAAATAAATTCAAGGATACACTAAAGCATACGGGAGCAAAGTTCTGAAAACTTCTTAGCCATAACACTGGTACCGGCCACCTAAGATGCCCCCATCTGAGCAAAAAGGAGGGAATAACATCAGAGATGAAAGGAAAAAATAGTCCAAAGACCGTAGGAAACCCAGCCTCCAATATACACGATATGACAATTGATATGAAATCGGTACCACTACCAACCACTCTGATCATCCTGATCCTCACAAGGGAAGACAAAGACCAGTCTGGTGGTAGGAGGACAGTAAGATAAAACTCATTTTTCAAAAGACCACGCTACCCTGACTGGTCTGTTTGAGACTCTGGACACTCCAGAAACTGTGGCCCATACACATCCTTCATGACTGGACCTGAGCCTACCCCTGGGCATCAACTTTCAGCCAAAAAGTAGATAGCCGTATCAAGTGAATAGTAACAACTTACAGGGAGAAACATACTCCTCAGTATAATCAACTATAAGAGACCAAAAGGGCAGTATTTGCCCCAAAAAATAGAGGTAAGAGGGATGGCCAGGAAAGAAAAACAAATGGGGGGCAGTGGGACTAGGGGGGAATCAAACAAATGGAAACAAAGAATCCAGGGTGAAAGTGGGAAGAGGGATTGCAAACAATGTCATGAAACAAAATGTGTACAAACTGCTAAATGGAAAACTGATTTGCTTTGTAAATTTTCACCCCAACTACAATAAAATGTTCACATACACACACACAAAAGAAATTAATTTATGGAAATTGTCATAAAGAATTTGAATTTATATAAAAGACAAAAACACCATCTTAAAAACATTTTAATAAGTGAAAAACTACAGAGAAAAAAATTATAGGCTTCTAGGTAAGAAGAAAAATTGCGGCGTCAAAATAATAAATTTATAAATTATCAAGGGTTCATGAGGGAGGGAGAGCAGAGAGGGAGAGGAAAAATGAGGAGCTGATGCGAGGGGCTTAGGTGGAGAGTAAATGTTTTAAGAATGATGAGGGCCATGAATGTACAAATGTGCTTTACACAATTGATGTGTATATGGATTGTGATGAGTTGTATGAGCCCCTAATAAAATGATTAAAAAAAAAAAGAAAAGAAAAATCAAGGTTTTTAATCTTTTAATTTTTAACTATGCTCAAATTAAACTATGTTTAATTCTTAACTATGGAAATATATTCCAGTGAAAAATAACCATACCTCATTCTAAATTTTAAAATAAAAACAATTTTAAAAAAATAAAATTTACAAAGGAGTCTGATCAAAAGCTCTCTAGAATGTTTGTAGAAGGAAGAGTCACCTGTAAAATGATGTTAAAGTTCAACTGACAAGAAAATATAAGAAATTGCCAAAATTTTTCTTACAAAAGAAAGAATATGGTGGAATGAGACAGAGACTACCATTATTACACAAAAATATATTACAAAATTCTCATAATTAAAAAAAACATTAAGTAGTGGAATAGTAATCAACAACCTTGCATCCTTTCTTTCATTGAACTATGTAAATGTATTACTTACGCCCTATAAAATAATTAATAAACTTAATTGAAAAACATTAATGATGGTATAAGTGAAGTTTTAATAACATGAAAAATATTCAATAGTAAAATATGAAAAACTGGGGAGGGAGGGGAAAGAAAATTCTTAACATATGCATAGTCACATAAATACGAACATATTAAAAGATATCAATGGCAGTGAGTTTGGGTTTATTGAAAGATACATATCAAAATCAATGGTACAAAATATAGAGCTTAAAAAAAACCTAGAATATTTTAAAATATAAAATGCGATATTTACCCAAAAGGACTAAAAACATATGGCCACAAAAATTATATATAAATTGTTCATAGCATTATTCATAATAACCTAAAAGTATAAACAATCCAAATGTTCATCAACTAATAAAAGAATAAACAAAATGGGGTATATATCCGTAAAATGAAATACTACTGGGGTATAAAAAGGAGTAAAGTACTGATAAATGCTACAACATGGAAGAAAACGTTAGGCTAAGTCAAAGAAGCCAAAATACAAAAGTGCACCCATACAGATACAAGACTGTATCAGCACTTATACTGTTCAGAGTAAGTAAACTACAGGGACAGAAAGTAGATTAGTAGATGCCAGGGGCTAGAAGGAAGGGGGCACCGCTAATAGGTATGGGGTTTCCTTTTGGATACTGATGAAAAAGTTTTAAAATTACGTAATTGCGATGGTTAGATAATTCTATGAATATATGAGCAACACAGAATTTTATACTTTAAAGAAATATAATTTTATGTGATTTTTTATCTCAATAAAGCAGGTACTTCTTAAAAAGATGTTATGTCCCCTCATCCCCTCCCCAAAATATGTGTTGAATTCCTGGCCTTTGTTGTGATCCCATTTGGAAACATGATTTCTTTTGCTATGTTAATGAAGACGTTCAAGTTTAGGGTGAATTGTACACCTACTAATTTCTGAATTATAAAAAGACTAGAACAGACACAGAGAGGCACACACAAGGAAAAGAGACAGATGACACGTCAAAAACTCAAACTCACTGGCATCGAGTGGATCCGACTCGTGAGGACTCTGTAAGGACAGGGTAGAACACTGCCCCCCTGAGTTTCTGAGACTAATCCTTGAATGCAATAGAAAGCCCAACTTTCTCCCTCAATGGTTTCAAACCATTGACCTTGTGGTTAGCAACCCCATTCACATCCACTATGCCACCAGGGCTCCTATAGGACATATAAGCTTGTCTATTAGCAAAGGAACACCAATAATCAGAAGCTAGGGGAGATCAGAGAAGAAACCAATATGGCCCAGGTTCTGACCTGATCTTACCAGGGCTGTGAGAAAATAAATTTCTGTTCTTTAGAGCCGCTCATCTCTGTTTATTCTGTTAAGGTAACACCAGTTATCTAAGGCAAGGAAATGCATGATAAAGAAGTCCTTCGGATATCTATATGAGGAGATGATTAAAAGGAGATAAAAAGCCTACGTATATTTAAGTGCCCTATAGAAATAATCATTCCTCACCTCCCTGAACCAGCTGCTGGCACATAAACAGAGCAGTGGAACCAGTAGAACAGTTATTGTTGACGTTAATTATAGGAATTCCCGTCAGTCCCAAACTGTGGTAGATAGCCCTCTGCCCACAGGTAGAATCACCTGAATAGAAAAGAAACAAAACAAACGTTAATGCCTGTAAGCTAAGAATTAAGGAGCTATAGTGCATCTTAATTCTACATTGTGGATTTGGGCTTTGGGTTCCTCCCCACTCTCGTATTTGGCTTTGCCTAGCACCCCACATGGATAGGATGATGTATACATCATTGACATCCTACTCAGACTTAGCATTAACCATCATTTACTCAGCAAATTAAAATAGTCTCATCACAGAATATAGGCACATTTTTATTTTTTAATACAATTTTATTTCTTTTGAACATGACTGTTGTCAGATATTAATCTTTAACTTTGTTGATTTAAAAGGCCCTGATTTTCTTGTTTTTGTTGAGAATATGCACAATTCAACAGTTTCTACATGTACCATTAGTGACATGATCACATTCTTAGAGTTGTGTAACCATTCTTGCCCTCCCATTAACATATATTTATGGCTCCTTAAGATTCCTATTGAATCTTTTGAGTTGCTGTTGTCCACTTAGTCCCATATAGATGAATCTTAAAGGGCATATTGTCAAGGCAGACATTTTTAAGTATTTAAGTTAAATTACTGGTTGGTTTTAAGAAAAATTTTTGGCTTACAGTTCAAAGATTATCTGAAGGCACTAGTTTCAGGAGTTTATCTAATCTTCGTGGCTCCAGGATTTCTGGAGTCCCTAAGAATTTTAAAACCTGTATTTTCTTCCTTTTGCTATTTGATCTTTGATGAAAATATTCAGTGAGGGTAACCTGGCACCACCCCATTCTTCAGGTCTCATGTCGAAGGAAGCAGATGATCATGGAGGTAATTAGCCATACATTGTGCACTTGCATTAAACAATACAGAGGCGGGAGGATAGAGAAATGGCCAGGTAATAGCAAACAATTCAATCTGGCCAGAGTTACGTGAAAAAGGAAGCAATATATCAGTAACACGACTGTGGTCAGATACAAATCTTTCAAGTTTTCCCAGTTTATTTAAAAGGCCCGAATTTTCTTGTGCCAGGGTATTCCAAGAAAGTGATAGTCCAAGCTGAGCACAGAGGACAGACACCCTCCCCAAGAAACCTGACCACCAAGGCAGACCTGCTGAAGCAGCATGACAGGAGTGTATGGGGACAAGCCCTCCAGGAGTCTCCAAGGAAAACAAAGAACAACAAATATATTTTGAAGCCCTTTAATCTCTTTGACCCCTTCTAAAATATTCTTGGCATCTTAAGATCAGAAGGAAATAATCATGGACATGAACAAACCATAGTTCGCAAACTTATCTGGCCTACGGAAAGCCGAGTTTCAGAAAAGAGAATGACTCAGCATTCCCTAACAATCCAGAATGTTTGCACTATAGCCCATAATCCAGGATACAGCGTAAGGACCTGCTTTGGCAGGGCACCCTGACTCCTTCCAGAGCCCCACTGGCCTGGCATCGCATACGTTAGGAAACAATAATCTACGCTATTGTTTGCTATAGCTTTTTATAAAAAGTGAAAATGATAAATAATATAAAAATGCCAAGAGCAGGACACCATTACCACTACTATGTATGCTGCAACAAAGATGAATCGTTATTAATACTATGCTGAATACAATAAATCAGACACAAAAACACAAACATTTATATGAAATATAAATCACATTTAGATGAAATATCAAGAATAGGCAAATGTGGAGAGAAGCTTATTACTGGTTAACAGGGACAGGGGAACAGTTCTAAGAAAGGATTTTGAGCGATTACTTGTTCATTTTCAAGAGTACAATTGTATAACATTAGTTACATTCATCATGTAGTGCAATCATCATCACTATCTTTCAGCACTTCCAATACACTCTGTATCTTTTAATCAACGTCTTCCCATATCCTTTTCCCCCTGTCCCTGGTAACCCTAACATAGAAACAATTAGCTCTTACAATATGGCCCTGCCTGGTATTTGCCCCCATGAAGATATGGGTTCCCTACAACATGTGGTGAAGAAACTAGATGGTGCTTGGCTATCATGAATAACAGAGTCTGGGGTCTTAAAGGCTTGTCTCAAAACAAATAGCCATGTAGGCAAGGAGTCAACTAAGTCCACATGGAAGAAGCACACCAACCTGTGTGATCACAAACCAACTCTTTGTCAGCGAATCAATGCCACCTCACAGTGACTCTACAGGACAAGACAGAACTACCCCTGTAAGTTTCCAAGACTGTAACTCTTTATAGGAATAGAAAGCCCTCACCTTCTCCCAGGTGATCCAAAGATAGCTAATAATAAGACTCAAACCTAGAAAGGGGAACAGAACCAGTGCCCAAACCCTAAATACCCAGATTATAAAATAGTGGTAGTTCAAAGTCCATTTACAGAGTCATTGCATGGGTTGAGCCTCTGGTGAAACCCTGCACATTGGCTAGACATGGCAATAGCCCCCAAAATCAGATAGTGAGTATTGTAAAGGGGATTTAGTTACTGCACTCAAGCCAAAATGTAATGTCTTATAAATTGATCTCCACATAGACCCAATATGAATTTATTGTAAACTTTTAATATTCCCTGCTTTTTATTAGATTGGGGTCTCTATCAGTTTTGTACGGCCATTTTTGGATCCTCGCAACAGTGTCTGCCTTAGTCTTGTATAATTAACTGTACAGGGAAATTAGGATGGAAGGGGAAAAAAAAGAGTAACAAGATTGATTATTACTTGGGGACATGGAGGGAGAGGGAGGGGTAAATGGGGAACCAACATCAATGTATAAAAGGAGGAAAAAGAGTCACAAAGTTGATTATGACAATGATTGCACTACCCTTGATAGGCCTGAAACATTGAACTGTAAGATATGTTCAATATAACGCAATTTAAAAAATGGTTAAGATGGCAAAATCTCTTTTCTTTATATATCAGTATCATCTTTTTGTGTGTGGGAGGGTGTGAATTAGGTGAAGGTGTTGTGGTAGTCCCCTAATCTGGTGTCAATTTAAGGATTAAGAGTGTAGGGGTGGAGTCTAGGCTGTCAATCTGGAGATAGCCAATGAGACTTCTGTGTGGGCATGGCCTTCTCCTGAGAATTCTGGTATGTCCTCCTTGGAGGCGGAAGACACTTCTCTCTCTCTCTGCCACTTCCTGGGAGACATTGCAGAAGACAAGCCACATGGACGCAACCAGACCTCAGAAGCCAGATAAGTCACAGAGAGACCCCTGCCAGCACTGAGATGCTTACAATGCCACTGGACCCAAAGACTTTCTATCCACTGGCTTGTGATCATCCTGCATTTGACTTCATTGCATGTGTTTCATGAGTCTGAAGAGGACTTTATAGATTGGATATCGGACATATGGGTTCATATCAGACTTATGGCCTTAGACTGGACTGGGTTGGGATGTTTTCTCAATGTCCAATTCCTCTTGTATTTAATCTCTTTCTTATAGACATATGTGTGTCCATGGCTTTCTTTCTCTAGTCTACCCAGACTGACAAAGGTGTATAGAGCAGATACGAGTTTTTAACATTCAACAATTCATACACGTTTCGTTTCAACTCATCCACTGCAATCCCCTCACGGAACCTTCACTTATCCCACTTCCTCCCTGGGTTTCCTGTTTCTATGCCTCCTCCTTTCCCACCCCTCTGAACTCCGTCCTGGAGTTGAAGCTGCCCCTTTGATTTTCAATGGCTGATGACGCTAATATGGAGGTAAGTCCAGCTTCAGATCCGAAGCTAAGGGACATAGACTTGAAGGCTGCACCAATCTGTGTCCAACAGGAAGTCTGTTCTCTTACTTTGAGTTTTATTCTCCTTTTTTATCCCATTCTATATAGAACCTTCTAACATGATCCTTTTCAGAGCGGTTGGCAGTGGGTAGCCAGGAGTCATCTAGTTCTTGAGGTCTCAGGGTTGCATACAAGAATTTTTAAAATGCTATAAAAATACTAGGGGCCTTAATTAAAAGTAGATTGTTTTTAAAAGAAACAATGAACAGAGTGCCTAGAACAACTGAGAACACTCAACAAGTGTTAAATATTAATTTCAAACATTTAAAAAAGTAGATGGATTCAATAGCTTATTAATCATCTATACAATGGAACACTGTGCCATCATAAAGAATAAAAATAAAACTCAAAAAGACCAAGGAAGCATTTTTACACCATTTGAAAAAGTCATCAAGAATTACTAATTTTTAAAAAAGAATTATTAATTTAATAGGAGATAATGTAGAGTGTGTACGTTATGTTCTAGCTGGTGTAACAAAAACAAGGGAGTGGGTGAGATCACACAAACTAGGTTTTCTCTGGAAAGAGACAAAGAATTTGGAAAGGCTTGGTGGCTGCGGGAAAAGCGCGATCGACTCCGCAGTCATCCATCTTTTGTATATTTTGAACCTGGAAAAACATTATCTGCTCCGAAAATAAACTTAATTGAAAAATGTTAGTGATGGTATAGAAGGCTTAAAGACATGGGGAAGGTTGAACATTAAAAAGAGAAAATCAAGTTACAAAAAAGCATGCATACTAAGGACATACACCAAAAAACTAATTGTGGTCACCTTTGAACACTGGGGTTACAGGTAATGTGCTTCTCCTTGTGCTTTCTGTCTCTTCTTTTCTAAACAATTGCTATCTGGTATTTTTCTAATCTGAGAAAAGGTCAATAAATAAATTTCGTTATATACAAAGGAGCCAATGAAATATCAAAGAACAAAAATGTATCTTCTGAATAGCAATTAACCTTACATGGTAAAATTACAGGCAATTTCTTCTTCTTTTAAGTTCTAAAACAATGTTTTAAATTTATCTACACTTTTGGCAATGCAATACTAACAAAAAATTAGGCTGCCCTTTGGGGAAACCTGTGAATCATGAGTTTTGAGAGTTCTGAGTTTTGAGGGTTAAAATCCACAAACTTCTATGTGTTGTTTCTACCATCATTTCTCGATGTAGGTGGGTAATTTTTAGTGTATCTCATTTGCTACATACCGTAAACATATCCCACGCATGCCTGCTCCACGGCTGAGTAAGGGATGTGTGCATCAGCTAAAGCCTTCTGGCCTGTAAGGACAAAAGAATTTTATCAAAAGATGCTTTTAAGTATTTGCTTTAAATTGAGTGTAGCATTTTCCCAGAATAAAACTATCTCTGTATATGCTATGTCTAATTCAAATGCCAAATCATATCAGATCTCTTTTCAGTGCTACTCATTTCTTCCTCTGTGCTACCGACATGCTTTTCCATGCCTCATGTGTTAGTCTGGGTTGACTGGTTTGAAGTTCATGACCTAGCACAAGAGGGCTAGGGTTGTTATGGGGCCCATGGGCTAAAGGCAAGGCAGCCAATGGGCACCCTGGTGAGACTACGTGAGGCAGCTCACATTGAGTTGACCAGAACTCCACCAGATGAAGAGAAGATTTTTGAGCCTATGAACTAGAGCATATTGCTGCTGACTTTATGGATGGCCTGTCCTGATTGACTTTGCTTATGGATGCAGACTTTGAAAGGTTCTACCTGGAATGAAGATTCTTCACATCAAAGAATATGATTGTCTCCTCGGAGCATGGGTTGTTGTAAGTGGGCAGTATAGAAATTGGATACCCAAAATTGGGCAGATAAGGGCATGAAGTAGCTGGCTTACAAACTTTCATAGGTGGGGGAATATATGCATAGGATTAAGGTGTAGGTGTTACTTAACTGCAATTGTTAGGCATAGAATAATGTGTTTTCACTTACAGAATATTGTATTTAAATGAAGCTTTGGCACATATTGAGTCTGGTGCCTTAGACCACTCAGCCATCCTGACATCTAGCTTTGGCACATATTGAATTGTATTCATTTTAGTTTTATCCTGTTAGGTACAGACATGATTTTATTATTTTGTTTAAATATGTGGCTAAAGAGTTGTATAAAAGTGTCAAGTTGACACGGGGTGGTCTGTGGTAGTTGCATAATCTGTTGTCAACTTGAGACTATTAAGAGTGAAGGGGTGAAGATTAGCCTATCAATCAGGTCACAGATTGATGACCTCATTTGGAAGCACTAAGGAGATAAATAGCTCGCTGGAGGCCAGACCCACACTCTCTGCTTCATTTTCCTGCTGACAAGACACATGGAGCTATGCTGATGGAACCAGAGCCCTGCAGCTGGAGGAGCCACGTGGAGACCCACACCAGCACTGAGATGTTTCCAGTGCCACTGGATCCACAAGACTTTTTACCCACTGGCCTGTGATCTTCCTGCATTCGGCGTCATTGCATGTATTGCATGAGTCTGAATAGGAATTTATAGACTGGTATCGGACATATGGCCTAAAATCACACTTATAGACTTGATCTGGACTGAGCTAGGATGTTTTCTTAATATACAATGACTTTTTTATATAAAGCTCTTTCTTATACACGAGTCTGGTGTCCTTTTCTAGGGACTGATAACACATCCGATGTATATGAGATAAAGAGCTGGCATCCTCCCTTTTAAGAAGCGTTCTGGCTGCACATCTTCCAAGACAAAGTACTCATTTTTCTGGGAGTCTATAATTTCAATTCTCTTTGCCAAACTGTAATTCAAATGCATTAAGTCTTTGATTTTCCTTATTCTTTGTCCTGATTTCTCTTGCATATGAGGTGATTTGAAATATATCATGGCTTGGAGTAGCTGCATTTAGTCCTTAAAATGATATTTTTGCTTTTGAACACCTTTAAGTGACCTTTTACAGCAGATGTGCCTCAGACAGTGCATCATTTTATTTCTTGACTGCTCTAAAGAACCCCTGGTGACGAGGTCAGGTTAGTGCTGGACTGCTGACCATTTGGCAAGAGAAAGATGAAGCTGCCTGCCCCTGTACAGATTTTATAGGCTCGGTGTGGTAGTTACATAATCTGGTGTCAATTTGGGACTTGAGAAGATTCTGAGTGAAGGGGTGGAGTCTGGCCTGCCAATCAAGATATAAGCAATGAAGCCTCTCTGTGTGGGTATGGCCTTCTCCTGAGAATTCTGGGAACTCCTGGATTTCCTCCTTAGAGGCTGGAGAGACTTTCTCTCGGCTCACTTCCTGCAAGACATCCCTGAGGAGAAGTCACATGGACCTGCCCTGATGTAGCCCTGGGAACTTGAGGAGCCACATGGAGACCCCTGCCAGCGCTGAGATGCTTCTACCACCACTGACTCTGCACGGACTGCACTGTGATCTTCCTGCATTCATCACCATTGCATGTGTTTCATGAGTCTGAAGAGGGCTTTATAGCTTGGTATCGAACATATGGACTAAAATAGGACTTATGGACTTGATCTGGACTTATGGACTTTCTCAAAATTCAATTGCTCTTGTATAAAAACCTTTTTCCTTATACATAGGAGTGTTTCTCTAGTCCACCCAGACTAACACACTCGGAAACCCTGCATAGGACGACTGTGTCAGAATCAACTCAAGAGCCGCGGAAGCTGAGGTAATTAGTTGGGTTTCTTGTTACTGGTCAATTCCCACAGTTAGTTTCAAATTGCACAACTTTACCTCAATATTACTGTTTTAAAACAAAATATTATATCCACACGACTAAAGTAACTTCCTATGTCTTAATTAAGTAAAAGAAATGGAACAAAAATGGTTAGAATGTATTTATTAAAGCCTTTCTCACTTCAGGGAAAGGCAGCTGTTTGGAGACACCAGCCAAGAAGAGCATGGAAGGATGGTGTAGCCAACCACACACGAGATGGGCATTATATGAACAGTATCGACCCTGAGACCCTACAAGAGATGGTCACATTTCATTAACCTTCCTTTGGGCGGGGTGAGAGCAGCTCTGATTCCCTGAATGCTGCTGTTGGGTGCAGTCTGATTGACTGCAACCCACAGCAACCCCACAAGGGCAGGGCAGACCTCCTCTAGGGCTTGCATGGGAGAGCTGGACACTGAATACAGAAGACCGAAAAAGAAGGATCGATGCATTTAAATGATGATGCTCAGGAAGAATACTGAAAGGACCATGGGTTTCCAAAAAAGCCCCAAACAATTCTGTCTTGGAAGAAGTAGGACAAGGCAAGGATGCTGAGACATCATCTCACCGACTTTGGGCATGTTGTGAGGACAGCTCAGCCGTGGAGAAGGATATCATACTTGGGGGAGAGGCAGAGAGAAAGAGGAAGACCCTGGACAAGATGGATTGACCCAGTGCTGCAACAATGGGTTCACACACAGGAACAATTGTGAGGATGGTGCAGGACCGAGCAGTGTTTCGTTCTGTTGTTCCCAGGGCCTCCACGTTGGAACCGACTTGAAGGCATCCAACAACAGCAACAACTTTGCTATTAATTCCTTACATAAACATATACCACAATCAAGTTATTCTGTAACCACTTTGCTTACTACAGGTCTCTTAACAGTTTCAACAAACATAAACTCCTAGGCTAATGTCTGCTCCGGCCATTCAAACTCAAAACTCACTGCCCCCGAGTCAGCGCGGACTCACAGCGACCCCCTGTGGGTTTCCTAGACCGTAATGGACTATAGGAGTAGCAAGATGAGTCTTTCTCCCACTCTGGTTCTTAGGCACACAGAATGCCCAGACTCCTCTCTCCTTTCTAGGGTGCCACTGAATTCTTCTCCCCTGGTTGTGGAGCTACAGCTGTGCTACCCAAAATGAAGACAGACCGCATGAGGGGCTACGAATGTTCAAAGATCTCCATGTTCTATCTTACCTGCTTCTTTTGCCATGTCAGGATAGTCCCGGGTGCCAGGCTTCAAAAACTAGAAACATAAAAAGAATAAACAGAAAGGTGGTTAAGGATTTTTATACCTAAGCATCACAGAAATGCATTCCTCTTTTAATTTAAACAAAAGCATACTGAGTCTAACAATGATGAGATATGTAGTACCTCACAACAGCATTGAAAACAAAGTTCAAAAAACCCAGAAAACAAAAACGTTGGAGGGCGTGCAGAGAAATTGGAACCTTCATACACTGCCGGTGGGACTTTAAAACTGCACAACCATTGGGGAAAGTGCAATGGGGCTTCCTGAAACACTGGAACCAGAAACACCATATGTCCCAGCAACCCTTATACTTCATTTGGATATCATCCTAAAGAAACCAGAAACGGTAGGGGGGAGGTGGGAGATGGGAGGGGGGGAAAGAGGAGCTGACCCTAAGGGCTCAATAAAAATTAAATGTCTAGAAAAGAACAATGGCAATGTATGTACAAATATGTCTGATACAATTGATGGATGGATTGACATAAGAGTTGTAAGAGCCCCTAATAAAATGATCTATAAATAAATAAATAAATAAAAATAAAACTATATGGTAGAGGTAAAAACAAACAAACAAAAAGGATCAGAACTCTATGTAACACCAAACCCAACCCAACCTGCACAATTGGACCAATAAACACAGAGGTTGAAACTGTAAAAAAAAAGACACCAGAAACAAAGCATAAACAGATATATGCACACCCACGTTCATCACAACACTATTCATAATAGCAAGACTATAGAAATCACCAAAATGCCCATTACTGGGAGAACAGATAAATAAATCTTGGTATATACACACAACAGAACACAGTAGCTGTTGTTGGGTGCCACCAAAACAGTCCCAGCCCATAACGACCCTATGTACAACAGAACAAAACACCACCCAGTCCTGCGCCATCCTCACAATTGTTCCTGTGCCTGAGCCCATTGCTGCAGCCACGGTGTCCATCCATCTTGTGGAGGGCCTTTCTCTGTTTCGCTGCCCCTCTATATTACCAAGCATGGTGGTACAAGTTCCTTCTTCAGGGACTGGTCTCTGTTGACATGTCCAAAGTATGTAAGATGAAGTCTTGCCATGCTTGCCTCTAAGTAGCACTCTAACCACTTTTTCCAAGACCAATCAGTTTGTCCTTTTAGTCGTCCTTGGTACTTTTACTATTTTTCACCAGCACAATTAAAATACATCCATTCTTCCTTGGTCTTCCTTATTCAATGTCCAACGTTCATATGCATATGAGGCAATGGAAAATGCTATGGCTTGGGGTCAGGCACACTTAGTAACATCCTGCTTTTCAAAGTAACATCCCTGCTTTTCAACAATCTAAAGAGTGCAGTAGATTTACCCAATACAAACCTTTTGATCTCTTGACCACTGGATCCCATGAACATTGATTATGGATCCAAGTAAAACATAATCCTTTGCCACATCAATCTTTTTTTCCATTTATCACAATTTTACCTGTTGGTCCAGTTGTAAGGTTTTTGGTCTTGTTTACATTGAGTTGCAATCCATTTTAAAGGCTGCAATCCTTGATTTCCATCAGCAAGTGCCTCAAGTCCTCCTGACTTTCAGCAAGCAAGGTTGTGTCATCTGCATATTGCAGGTTGTTTATAAGCCTTCCTCCAGTCCTGATGCCACATTCCTCTTCATATAACCCAGATACTCTGATAATTTGCTCAGTATACAGATTGAACAAGTATGGTGAAAGGATTCAACCCTGTAGCACACTTTTTATTTTAAAACATGCAGTATTCCCTTGTTTACTTGATTCAGCTGCCTCTTGATCTATGTACACGTTCTGCATGAACTTGGTCTATGTACAAGTTCTGCATGAGCTGAACTGAAGTGTTCTGGAATACTACACATCACTAAAGGCTAGGGATGAAACTGTAAAACACCTCATGACGTGAATGGATTTGGAGGCCCTCTGTTGAGTGAAGTAATGGAACATAAAAGGACAAAAATTGTAATGAGATACTTATCAAGTTTACAAATATTGTAAAAAAAAAATAAGATAAAGGTTATCATACCAAAAGAAACCGATTCCTATGGCTTCCAGGAGTGGGAAGAGAATGGAGGGACAGGGGAGTAATAGGGTAAAAGGTAGACAAATGTTAACCTGGTGAAAGAGAAGAAAAGGCCTAACAAAAAAGATATGGTAGGGCCGGGGAGAGGGGGCCCAGGCAAGCTATTGGGAGGACTGATAAATTCTTAAAGTTGCTAAATACAAAATTGATGAGCTAATGTAAAACCCTACCTAAATCACAATAAAAAGTTTAAAACATAATATAAGCCTGTGTACAAGGGGGTACCAAAAAAGAAAAAACTGGAATTCCCCC